GACAGCCTCCCCCCCTCCCCCCATATCCCTCCGCAATACAGAATCCGGTGGTTCCGAAGACTGACGCTCCGCGCTCGGCACTTACGTGGACTCGTCATCCGGTCCTCGTCTTCCTCAACCACTACCACCGCTAAGAGCAAAGGCGGTGCGAAGGGAGAAAACGCAGAGTCTACCACAGCAGCGGCAGAGGGGGGTCGTGCTGGCGGCGGCGTTGCTGCATCAAGCAAGTCAGGTGGGTGTCCCGTCTGCGTATTTTGGTGGTCGATCGTTGGCCGCACCGTGTGCACAAGCGCAACAATTTTCTTGCTCGAGGTGCAATATTCGAGTGATTCCAAGGGAGACGAGTGCCAGCATGGATTGTTCATCACTACGCCAGGGAGCGATTGTAGTTTGGGGTGGGATGGAGCTTCAGGTCTCGCTACGACCCCGGTGTCCGCTGGAGGTCGATATCACGACAGTTTCTGCAATGTGGTTTTACATGGTGCGTTCTGCTGTTGTTGCGTGCTGCGAGAAGAGTTGTCCTATGTCATTATGTTGTGCATGTATCTCCCTGTTTGGTTTGACGATGAACTCCTGCGGCTCTAATTCCTCGCGTACGCATACAGGGGACGGTTCGACTTCGTCTCCGGATGAAGCGTTCGTGACACGGTGGGTCATCGTGACGGACAAGCGAATGCTCCACGCGCAGGAGGAGCCCGGCTGGGGGGCGGACAAGGAGAAGATTAAGACGCTTGACCTAGTCAGGTATGTACGACAGAAAAGAAAGGGCTGTTAAGGAGCGACGTTGCGATGCGACCGGAAACAAGGGCGACGAATTCAATCACGTCCTTGACACCATTTCCAGTACTTTGCCTCTAACCCCGCAGGTCGCGTTAGTATGTGCCGCCCCGGCCCCACCTCCTTCCACACACGCCGGTACGAGAGGTGCACGGTGCAATTTTCTCTCCACCTTCTAAGATTCCCTCGGGTGCTCTTTTTTACGTCACAGGTTCGGGGTTGCGTTTTCACCGTGGTCGCCAGCCCTCGGGGGGGTGCGGGTGCTGTGGGACGCTCCGCTGTCCAGCATCCGGTCCTTGACCCTTGAGCCCGCCCAAGAGGGGGTCAGGGTGGAGCTGTCGGCTCCAGTGGAGTACTCTACAGACCACCAGGTTTGTTTGAGGTCGGGCGTGCTGGTTTCCACATGCGTCGCGGACCTGTCTGTGTAGACCACGGCAGTGCACAGGCCGGAGAAACGGTTGGTAGTTCGGTAGTGTTGGGGCTGTGCTCGAGATCAAACCTGGCTGAGTTTTGTGTGTGTATGAACAGCCAGAGCTCGTTTTCACGGCAACACTCGCAACCGCAGGAGATGTTACTGTTTCGGTTCGTTTGCAGCGTGACGTCGACATCAGGTCCTAACTTCCCACTGCTTGCCTTGCCCCCCCCCCCACCCCCTATGCATCACCTTCCGCCAGGAGTTGCCCCTGTTTTCGTACAGCCAGCTTGGCGCTGTTAGCGCTAGACCCAACGCTGTGGTTTGCGACCCGGACACCATGAGCGAACTGGCCATTCTCGCTTGCCTGCAGGTGTGTGAAAACCGCAGCTGCAGATGTCAGGCGATCTCACGGCCATATTCCGGTTGACTGGCACACACTCGAAGTTGGCCGCTGGGGCAGCGTTGTAATAGTTGTCGCGCATGCTACAACCAGGCAGCTGCCTGTGTGTATGGTGACAAACTCTCTAAATGACACTGGAGCCCAACCGAGCGTAACTGCGGCTTGCCTATCGACCTACTGACCTTGAGCCAAGATTCGGAACTCGACCAGTATGTGCGTCGAAGACGGAAGGTGCAATTGAGTTTTCCCGACGAGCTTGATGCCCCGGTGTCGGGAGCGAGGTCCCATGCTGCCTGCCCCAGATGTTGCAACCGAGGTAGAGCGGCAAGTCCCGCGCCACCATTTTGCCGTTTTGTTGTCGAAAGGAGGATGCCTTGGGACTACCCCCCGCTCCAGTTGTTGGTGTTGCGCCAACCACTGCCAGTTGCGGCGGGGGGCAGCCGCAGCAACGAGAGCGAGGACAGGCCCAAGGCATCCCCGCATAATTCAGACAGAGAGATGCAAGTAGGGGCCTTGCCGGGCGGCGGGACGGGCCTACCCCAAGTGCAAGACCTGGGGCAAGCGGGATGGGGCCTCGTTTCTGACACCTTGGGTTCCAGCTCGTCGGGCAATCAACATTGCACGTTCCCTCTTCAACGCGCTGTACGCACCCTTGTCGGGTTTCCAGTCTTGGGGGTGCACACATGTCGTGGGTTCAATTGACAAGCCGCGGTTTGCTTCGCCCAAGCGATCGCGATGATCACGAGTTCTGGGAGTTGATTGACTTTGCAGCGTTGCGTTTCGAGGTAGGGATGGGCACCCGCTAAAGCACGATATCGGGGAAGTGCTAGGGTTGATGTTGTTGTCGTTGTTTCTCACAATCGCTCTAGTCCACAAAAAATGAGGAGCCCGTGGTCTCAAAACCCGGCACATACGACGCCGCGGGGAAACAAAACATAGGGTACAAACCACTCGGAAAAAGAATACAAAATAATAGAAAGAAAAGAACAGGTACCGCACCGACCGTTCGAGAAGGTGTGCGTGTATGCGTCCTTTATTTCTTCACGAATCTTTTTCTGCAACGCTGAACCGCCAAAGTTCAAATTGACTACTACCTTTTCGAAGTAGAAGTATACATTTTGTGGCTCTCTGGGACCTGCCGTCGGTCTTGCTGAGATTCTTACTGCCCAGGCACACAACGCATTCCGTATTTTTTCTGATGTGCGTTTCGGTAGCTTACATGTTCCTACTGTTCCTCGCCGCACAATTTGTTCGGATTTTCTTCTCCCCTAGGGTTCGATGGGGCCGGAGTTCGCCCAGATCCACCTGGTCAGGCCGCACAAGTACTCCATCTGTATTCAGGGCCACCTGATTAGGATGCACAGCTCGGGGCTCTTGACGACGCTCGAGCGACACTGGTACGCGGTCGCGAACGGCATCCTGTACGAATATACTCCCAGAAAGGTGCGTCAGGCGGCGGAGGATGTGATTGACGGACCCTTGTTCGTGCATGTAACATGAGGTAACGGTCGTCACAACTGTTGGGTAGACGTTGTGTTTGCAGTGCATGAGGCAGAGGTGAAGTGGCCCGCACGCTTTTGTCCCTGCCTGCTTTGCCCCTCGTCAAGATTGCGTCGGCTGGCTCTTTAACATATCGAAAGAATGGTATCACGAATCACGGCAAGCTTTCGATCGCTGCGAAGATATTCAATGCGATGTTATATTGTCATCTCGGTACTACTTCCGGCTGCAGTTTTTTTCCTTACGACGAATCACCTCCCCAACACACCACAAACCCATCCAAAGCAGCCAAGCCATGACACACTGCCTGAAAGCACATACCCATACTTGTACCGTTTTGTGTTTTCCATGATCGGACCGTCAACACCCCCACACGCTCAGGACGCACTGCCTGACGGGTCAAACACGCCTCCGCCGCCGGCGGGCTCGAAGAAGTCTGTGCAGGGCGGCGGCGCAACCGCGAGACGGCCCGGTTACCCGTACACGTTGACGACGGTGCTGCCGCTATCGGGGGTCTCCATCAAGACGGGGAAGATAGAGGGTAACGAGCACAGCCTCAAGATCTTCAGGTGAGAGGATCAACGTAGACGGACGTTATCTACGCGATTTACGGACAAAAGAAAGACACGGATGGTTGCGTGCACCACATCCTCGAGCACCTCCCGAGGCTGCTACCTACCGTCTCGCGAGACCGTCTACACCCCTGCACAGCTTGGCGCCAGCCGCGTGCGCTTGACCCTCACGCCCACCATCGGATGCCTCACTGTGGCCAGTTTTTGATATAGCCATCCTGCCCCCTCTCTCTCTCTCTCTCTCTCTCTCTCTCTCTCTCTCTCTCTCTCTCTCTCTCTCTCTCTGCGTGCCCCCCCCCTGACTCCAACCTTACGCTGTTGATCCCTCTCTTCGTTGGGACATACGCAGAGCGCCAAAGCCTGGTGGGCGGAGCCGCGACGCCGGCGTTCTGCCCGTGGTGACTGCGAGCGCCAGGCTTGCCTCTGTGCTGGAGGAAAAAACCGTCGATGAGGTGGTGCTGCAGGCGGACAGGTACGGTTGCCTTTTAGTTTTTTTTTTTTCTGTATCTTCCAATACAATGGTCTAGGGTCTGCCACCATCCTGATCGTGCGTCAAACAGTTGCTTTATCTTTTGTTATTCTTGTGGAGCTCGCTCTTGGTCCCTTCTGTGTGGCCATTATGAAGCTGGTTGTTTGTGGCCCGGTCGCTGAATTGGTGTTTCTCCTTGGTTGCGCTCGTTTCTTTCCTGTTTCTGTCGTACGAACAGCACGAACATGTCGCCTCTGTCATTTCCCCCCCCCCCCCCCCCCCCTCCCTTCTTTTTCCCATGGCAGCCACGCCTCGCTGCGAGAGTGGGTGAACTGGCTCACGTCTCAGAGCAGCTCACCCAGCGGAGGAGGCCTTGGTGGGCAGGAGGAGCTCCTAGAGAGGCACCGCTACAGGAGCGTTTTCGTTGGCTGCGAGAGCCTGGAGGCTGCCGAGGCGCGGGCCCTGTGTGACGGCCTGAGGGGGGCCGTGTTTACCCGGCTGGTAGAAGAACAGTTAAAAGTGTGAACATGGAGGGTCTTTGTTCCTTGTTGCTGCCTGAGTTGTGACACACGCGTCCCTTTCGAGCCGAACCATCAAAGTGACACAGCCAACACAAAGGGGGTAGCGTATTTTGGTGTTGTGCAACCTACCGTGTGTAATGATCCTACGGTGCTGAGTGTTCACGAGAGCTTCGTGGGGTAATTTCTGCTTATTTTTTAACTCAAGCAAACCGACGCTCCATAGAAGGGGGGAGGTGGGGTTGGCTCGGCGGAGACATCAATTAGCTTGTTTATGATGTGTTGTGTTCAGTTCATCGAGCAAGTATGCTGTGACTTGTAGAGAGGCAGCGTTTCAGATATATGCATGCTTATTTGTTTGTCGCGATTCGTGCGGATAGGTAAGTAGCGGAGACGTGTCTCCGTACCATACGTTTCAAGTACAACACATACTGTTGGTATATTCAAACTTGTGTTGTGCAGGTACTAGGGGGGATTTCTGGTTGTTTTTATGCACGTCCGCGCCCTGACAATCGACATTTTTAGGAACAAAGGGGCTCGCGCCTTCAAGCCGTGGTTGTAAATGCGGAAGGAGAAATGAGAGAGGCACGGAGGCAGGCAGCTGTTCTGTCACGCGACAACACCGTGGGGTATACGCGTGATATGAGACTGGAGTATATTGGCATAAACTGTAACTGCGAACACACAAGCCAAAAGGGTGCATGGAAAGGGCACACGTCGTTTGCTGCGACACGGGGGGTCAAGCTGCCACCAGTAGCACACATTGAGGGCGAAGAGCTGCTGCTGCCATTCGTGAGTGATCGAGGGGGGACTCGACTTTTCGACGCTCTTGGCCTCGTGACCGGTGCTTTTCTCTCTTCTTTGTGTGCTGTTTCAGGCCTCAGGCTTGGCCCTCAGCGCTTAGTAGGGAGATTCGTACACTCTGCAACGATTTGCTGGCGGGCAATACTTTTTTCGCTTTGCAGGAAGAAAAGATTAGCACTCCCAGGAGGAGAAGCAGCCGTGACTAATCACTCGAGCGAGTGACTTGAGTTGGTGGACTCGATCGCCCTCGCCCCTCCTGTAAACGCCCCTTTGACTCCTCTCATGACTCCAGGCTCTGCCTGCTGCTGCAGCTGTCGGTCGACATCTACACACGCTTATGTTTTATGCTCCCCACCTGCATGCCAACAACCAGCCGTTGAGCCTCTAGAGGGTGTGTGTGCCCTTGTGTAGGTGACTGCGTGGTGAGTCTCGGAGCCGTACCAGTAAGTCTAACCGGCCGACGGCTATTGGTTCATCAGTCTAAGTTAAGATCTGTATCTACTACTTGCACCCCGCATGGTAACCATGCTCTAATGTATGAAGTCCCACACGTTGCATACATGTAGATGGTGTTCATGTAAAATGATGTTCCCTACCCACTAGCCTAGCCTATTTAGAAAGGCGACCCCCACCCCCCCGTCTTTCAGTCCTCGGCGATATCGTCAACACATGAAACTAGCAGCGTGACTAGTACGTAGGTGCGCTAAGCAGTTCCAATAAACAAGAGTGCCAAGTCAGTGGGATGGTAGACTCAGTTACCCCCCCCCCAGGTATGTTTCCCTACTTACTAGTGCCTACTACAGAACGGTATGTACTTTCTGCGGGAAATTGGAACCTCCTCTTTTTCTTGTTCCTCGTGGATCGCTCTACATTCTACGTAAGAATACAGACCCCGAGCCCGCAACCGACGTTTTTCCGCATTCAACACCAGAATACGGAGTGGACTGCTGAAAAAATAGTCGACCCCCCCCGACCTGAAGAACAGAGCAAGGTCCAACTGTTCGCGGGTTCTACATCATCCCCGGGAAACAACACAACAGGCACCCTCTGGTGCGTTGTGAACAGCCTGCATTCCGAGCAGCCCGTGATGTTTTCGCAAGAGATCGTGGCTCTTTCTATCTGTTTGATGGTGCTGGTCGGCGTTGTAGCCAAAGTTCCATCTGTACTAATCGACCTGAGAAGACCCCGCGCTCGTGCTGCGATTAATCCGCTGTGTTAGACCCAATTTCATCACCGGCGTTAACGGTGTTTTCAAGCTCCAAGCTCGTCCTGGAAGTATTTCCTGGACTAGGGGGAACCTCCTTCAACTCATCATCATGACAGTGAAAGGAACGCCTTGCCACAACCCACGGGAGAGCGATCTCGGGGCACACTCGGTCTTGTTCATCTGGTCGTTTGCCTCATGGGCTGATGATGCCACGCAACCACCGCCACCATCATCAGTGCTTTCCTTCCTCCTCGACCTGCATCTGTGCCACCACCTGCGAGGCGGTTGATATTGGTAGAAGGCGTTGGTGGACGTGGACGTCAAGAAGCACGTGAATCTTTGTCGCCGCCACCGCGGCGTCGTCCAAATAATCCTTGTGAGAGGTTGCCGTGGTCGCGTTGTCGAAACATATTCGCTTTCTCCGTTCCGTGGCGCCCCACACCGCTCACTTTTACTCTACCAAACACCGTTTTGAGGGTAAAAGAGGCCGAAACATCTGCCAGTCTGTCGGCAAACAACAAGCTGCTTTTGATGGTGCGTGTTGGTAGTCGGTCTTTCATGCTTTTGTCATTTTTTTCGGGTGGAACGGGTGCAATACAGGCAGGCGCAAACAATGGCGCTCGCGCCCTAAATTCATCCGATGACCGTGATCGGCAAACTTTTGCCGTCGTCGGCGCTTTGACTAAGTTCGAAGCGTGTCGCGACTATTTCTTGACGAGACCTCGGTCGTTCGTAAAGCTGTGGTAGCGTAGGTAGGCCGAAGTCGGTTGCGGAGAAGGGGCAACCCACAGCGGCGACGAAACAAGTGTATCCACGTTGAAAAAAAATGCAATTTTGCTGCCCTATCGATAAAATCTAGAGTCATCGGCCATCTATCACATGGTATATGTGTTCGGCGGTTCTGATGGCGTCATTTCCCGTTCCATGTGTGTTCCACTATGAACACCAAAGTGTGTACCTCATGTATTTTTGCGTAGGTGACACGTAAATCTAGTAGCCCGAACCGAAAGCGCATCGTCCATTAATCCAACACTTCCCACACTTTCATAGCACCATCTGAGTGCAGTAACAGGGTCGTGATAACCCAACAACAGAACCCCGGAAACACTGGGAGAAGCATAACGCGTTTTCTGCCACCTTTGCGAGGCGTCGGGAGGCATCCTTGTCCTCCGGGTCCGCCTCGATAGCGGCGCGGTAGCACGCTTCCGCGCCCTTCAGGTCTTGCTTTACCTTCACCGTTTGGACAGTCACCAATCGTTTTAGGCAGGAGGGCACGAGTGTGAGGCTCACTCGTTCGTTTCTTCGTGAATATTCGAAGCGCATGCTACGTCTCCTTGCACATTGTTCGGCATCTTCACCCTGAAGGGCAGCTACTTGGGCGACAACGTATGCCATGGAGGTATCATGCAGGGCGCTCGAAAAGGGCTGTCATGCGAGCTCCGCTGGTGTAATGGGCCTCTCGGTACACACCAGTGGTTCGAAGCAAGCTCGCGTCAAAGTGTGCCGTGTACACGATATAGTGGGCGCGGTCTGACGATCACCGATCCCCCCTCCTCCAACAAGGGGCGCAGAGATAGTCCGGACAATTCAGAACCGAGAGGTTGAAGGGGGCCACAGCAGGGCCAGCTTGCTCCCCGCAACATATCCTCCGCTTAAACAAAACACAACCATGGCGAACTACTGCTTCCCTCCTCCCTCTCTCCCTCGGCTCACCTTCTCCAGCACCCAGCCGAGGTTGTACTGCGCCATGCCGTGCTTTGGATCGCACTTGATGGCGTGGCGGTACTGCTTCTCGGCCTCCGCCACGTCCCCCTTGTGGTGCTGCAGGAGGCACCCGAGGTTGTAGTGCGCGTCGGGGGAGCGCCAGTGGAGGTTGATGGCCTTGAGGTAGTGCTCCTCGGCCGCGTCGTAGTCCTGACGGCGGGGCCGAAGAAAGAAGGTGTGCAGCGGGAGGGGTTAGGTTGGGGTCTGCGTGTGCGACATAATGCTTGGTCTCTGTTCTCGACAGTGATTGAACCACCCCTTCCGGAAAAGAGTTGCCACGGGCTGCACTGCTGACGAAAACGAGACAAATCTCCGGCTCTGTTCTACACTCCGACTTTATAAGGATCCCACCGCCAAGGGGTCATTCAGGCGGGATCACGGCAGACGGCCGCTGATGCCACGATTGTCTTGGGAAGGCAACTAGAGCGACGCCCTATAGGCTAGAAGGCTTAGGTGGTTCGATAGGCGGATAGCCCGTGGGAGCTCTGGTGGCGATAAGAGCTTCTTCGGGATGAGAGCGCCAGCAATACGGGAGCAAAATACGGTAGCCCGGTACCTCTGAGACCAAGCTTGTGATAGCACGGAAGTAAACAAACAAGCCTCGAGTTTCTGTCTTCCCGCTGCCGTAAATTAGCACGCGCACACGACCAATAGGAGCGGGGTATATATACTATGGAAAGCACGTTACGCTACAAGACGCGTTCCTCAACCTCAACGCGCACAAGAGTAGCCGAAGCTTGTCGAGTCTCACTACCACGATCTTTGGTTGTCGGTCGCACGACGGGGAAGAACGGCCGTCTCGTGCTCCGCCCGAGGTTCCACCACAAACAAACCTACGACGTCAAACCTCCCGCTGAGACCCGCAATCAGTTCCAGTTCAACGTATAGTTCGGCTCCCTTGTCACCTTCTGTCTGTGGTGTAAAAGGTGCCCCAAGCTGTTGTGGGCAAACGCCGCGCGTGGGTTGATGCGGAGCGCCTCGGAGTAGTGAGCTTCTGCCTGCGCAAAGTCCTGCGGTGTTTCGGCCGGTTCGGTTGGTTTTCTAAGCTGACGAGAATTTCGTGTGTCAGAAAGCGATAGGGCAGAAACACCAAGCGAATCGTAGTCGCCATGGTGGGGACGTTTGCATTGTGATGGTTGTTGTTCTAGAGCAACAACCGCACGGCCTAAAGCGGCTCAACAGGCAGGCAGTACAGGGGGATGCTATTTCCGAGCGGTCCTTTTTTTTCACATCTGCGCAATTGCGTCCTGACACTTCCTCTGTTGGCGAAACACCCGGTGGAGAAAGTCGACCACTTCCGCCCCTCCCGACTGCCTGACGCTTGACGACTGTTTCGCTTCTGTATGTTGTTCTCCGGAGCAGTCCCCTCTTCGAATGTATGTACGCCCCTTTTCTTGAGTCGTCCAGACACGGAAATAGAAATCGTCACCTTGTAGACCGTCTCCATCAGGTACCCCAAGTTGTTGTGCGCCACAGCATCGTTAGGGTTGGCCTCCAGCGCTGCCCGAAGGGTTTCCTCCTCTCCGGCGTACATGCTGATGTTCCTCTTCGGAAACCGAAACCGAAATCGGGCCATCACAGCAAGTTGGCGGGACAAAAAACCCGAATGGGAACAACGTCAACAGACGATTTAGAGATGCGTACAACGGAGGGCGCGACATGCTTGCTATTGGACAGATAGATGCATACGTGAATGGAACGGGAGGCATTGTACGACGCGTTATTCTGTGGTGTTCCGCGATAGAACCCGTGTACCAGGACGAATTGTACGGCGGAGAGGGCATGCATGCTCACGAGAACGGGTGGTGTCTCCGCGGATGGTACCGCCATCACAATATTCTTCTCGTCCTCGTCCGTGATGATGCTCTGCCGCATGCCTGACATCTCAATGTCCCGATTTGAAACTGACAACTGCCCTGCGGCTTTCATAACAATGGACGACGATCGGAACTCGGGAGTGGCGATGCATACACTATGAATTGCCGCCAACTACGTCGAACGACCGGCCCGGCTTAACGTATTTCTACCGCAC